CTTTGCCTTAGCTGTTACAATGTAATAAGGGTTAACCGGAGAGGCAGTTTCTGTAAGCAGGGCAATAAAAATTAAGCTAGAAACAACACCAGAATATTTCCTTCCTGCCTTCCTTACAGGATTAGGCCTCTAAAGCAGAAAAAAACCAAAAGATTTCTTCCAACAACCGATTCTCTGAACCTCTTAGAAAGTTAAGAACCGGTTCTCCCGAATAGGTGCGAACTGGCTGAATCCCACCACTGTTCTCCACTCACAATATGGTTGCATTGCCAGTTGGAAAATTAAGAATTGACATGGGGATGGGCGATCTGCAGCAATACTTATACCATGAATACGATTTTGGAGTCAAGCAACTGTTTTTGAAGGGCAAAAAGTGGTTCAGAGTACACATCGACATACGCATAGGGGGTCAAGAATACCTCAAAGCAATTGCATCTTTTCTTGGGTTTCACATTTGCTCTCTGCTTATGAGGTACTCCTGACAGCTGTTGTATATGTGCCCATGCAAGCTACAAATCACTTTTTTTTCCTTTTGGAATATGAATATGAGTATTGGCACTTATCAGAGATCTCTAATCTAACCTTCGTACTGACAAAACAATATTTTAAAAATCTGTCAATTCAATCTTCACTTCATTAACAACACTGTTGATTCACCTTAAAACTTTTGATAGATTTGTTACTAATGTTAACTAATACTTACTATTTTGACCCTGTGACCAGGTGTGGCACTTATTTCCCAGCTGCATTCCTTTCTGCTTGGGTACTTATCAGGCCAGTTGGGGCTTGTGATAATTCCATTTGGGCTGTGGATTTTCTGTTCGCATTCAGCTGCATTAATGATGGATAGAGAACATCAATGAATTGAGTGAAAATATACGATATCGCTAGATAACCCAGATATTAATTCTCTGCTTTATGAAAAAAGGAAGCATCTGTTAGAAGCTAATATGGTATAATGCTTCAATCTTAACTATCAACATTTATGATTAGCAAACTCATTACTGAGAACAATGTGCAATAATCCATAACACTAATTTGGGGAGCTGTGCAAATAAGTTGAGATCTTCATCCTTTTGAATATTTGGTGTTGCTGTTTAATGGCCCTCCCATTCGCATGCTCTGTGCACAGTCACTCATGCCCTCGTCCTTTCTCGCCTGGACTACTGTAACGCTCTCTACATGGGGCTGNTTCTGAAAATAACAGATAAAAATAGTACACGCTAGGATTTTTTTTTTTTTTTGTATCCAAGGTCAGAATTCTTTAATGAAGATGGGTCTCTAAAAGAGGTTAATAAGATTAATGAAATGTATTCTACTTTGCAGACTGAACTAAAGGTAAGTTATGAATATCTATTTTGTGACTTTTAAGTAGCAGTGGAAAATTTGAAACACAGTTGTTAATGCATCTCAAATAAATATTCAGGAAAATACTACTTATTAGAATTTTGTAGTCTAGGAAAGACCCAAATACATCTATTAGAAGTTTGCCAGGTTCAGGTCATCTTTGACTTACGACCAGTTGCTTAGCAACTATTCAAAGTTACAATGGATCCACTCAACATGTACTCATGACTCAGTTCCAGTGACCACTCCCCCCAGTCACCTGACTACAATTTGGGCGCTTGGCAATCAGTCCGTATTTACTTCCATTTGTAATGTCCTGTAGTCACATGACTTTAAATTATGATATTTTTTGCTGAAAATCAGTATTTATTTCTGGTCTCCAGCAAAACCACCCGTAGCAAAACAATGGGCTTGCTTAATGACCACCACAAAAAAGGTCATTAAAAATGAACTGGTCATGTGATGAGTGTTTTACAACCATCGTGACTTATGACCATAACTGGCAAGCTCCATTGCAATTATAAGTCAAGAACTATCTATATGAAATTGTTTTGAAAATACAGTCATTGTGGAAAAACACCCCTGTAATTTATACAAATTATGGTAGTTATGCAGCCTCTGGGCTAAAAAGATTGTGCATTCCTATGAAGAATATAGTAATTAGGGTAATGTAGAACTAGAAAGCTATCCCCTTAAAAATGTTTTAATTGCTGTTAAAAAACCTTGTGTTCCATAGAGGTGTTCTTTTTCTCTTGTTCTAGAATCTGTGCAGTAAAGTAGTGGATACTGAAAAATCAGTAGAGAATCTATTATCACATATAGACCAACTGAGAAAAGAAATAAGAAGCAAAAAAGAACAAAAGAAAACTACAGGTAAGGTAGCTTAGCATGCCTAAAATAGCTGAAGTCCTTCAGGCCTTTAAAACATACTACAAGTTTATTGTATAGAGAATTTTCTTAATTCATTGTTACTATAATCTTTATTGGTTTTGCTATAAAAAAACCTGCGTAGTTATCTCTCTTATTTTTGTTCAACAAAACATGGACAAGCTATAATAGTTATTTGATATTAAATAAAGCACTTCCAAAGATTGTTTGCGAAAATAACCATTTTAGTAAGCTGGTTCATAAATTGAGTTCTCCAGTGGGTTTTATTTTTACCCGTACAGATAGATGCTGCATATACCAATGTTATAAAAGTTCGTGGTTGTTGGTTATCTGGCCAAAACAACTTAAATACGAGAAAGTTCTGGGTCATTTTATCATTTTTGTTCTCATGAGAAAAGTGAACATAGAGAATAAATGGCTAGAGCACAGATAGACCTTTAATTGAGTCAGCCACAGATGCTCCATGTGTCTGAACTTGCTTGGTGCAACATTTTATTGTTGATTCCTTGCGTGAGGATTGGGATCAGACAACAACCTACTCTTTCCCACATACCTTTACCTGCTCTCTACTATGTTTCCCCGAAAATAAGACCCCGTCTTATATATATATATTTCCCACCAAAAAAAGGAACCAGGTCTTCTTTTCGGGGAGGGCGGGGGAATGTCGTCCACTGACACATCTTACTTGCATGCGTAGCCCTGGCCTCTTTTTCGCTATCAGGGGCGTTCAGGAACTTCTTCATCCAGCAAGGCTTTCCTGAAGGCCTCTGTAGCCGATAACAGAGCTCCGGATCAATCCAGAAGCCTTCAGCCTTGCTGGCTACAGGGAAAAAAAAATGGGCCAAGCTGTGCAAAACCTGGCTGTAACAATCTGAAGGTAAGTACTACGGTAGGTCCACCACCAATATTCTTATTTGGGCATTAACATATATTGTTTATAAAGGGAAAAAATTGCTGCTTTTCAATTGATATATTCAGCCTACTATTATGGTCTTTCCATCTAATAAAAATATCCTCTAATCTGATTCTCCCCCCCTCTCTTTTCCTCTTAGGAAAGGATAGAAATTACTCAGATGAGCCAAAAGAGAATATTTTTCTCTGTCAAGCTTTGCAGCACTTTTTCCCAAATTCTGGGTTGCAGACAAGCACGATTACGTTAAAAGGAAGGCAGATTTCTAAGCAGGGATGCACTGCTGATCACAACATCCAAATCATGGACCAATTAACTTTAATGATCAAAGAAAGTAATTTCCCTGAAACAGAAACGAGGCAGGCGTCAAAGCGAAAAGCCATTGTGAACGCAAGTGGGCCAAAGGCAAGCAAAAGATTACGCCCTTTCCATCTAAATCAAAAAGTATTTCAAGACGACCAGGAAAACAGTGACCAAGAATTAAATCTTATGAGTAATACCAATGCAACTGAAGATGGGACACCTTGATGAGCACACTGTCTTCAACTTTTTAATTCCTTCCAGTGGAAATGGGTTTTAGTTGTTCTTATTCTCATCTCATTGGTGTTACTGGTGTTACTAGCACACTTCAATACATGGAATACTTAAGCCAACATTGTGGAAATAAAATCGACATCATTCTTACAAAGTGGACAAAGGTTCAGGTTGCTTTTCCTCACTAAATCTTAAATTGCTTACTGTCTTAGAGGGTACAGCAGAAAACAGCAAAGACCAATAACCTATCTGTTATTTTTAATAAGAACTTTATTAAAGAATGCAATGGTACTTTCTTTAAATAGCTTTGAAGTGAAGCGTTGATCCCAGAATCAAACACTTTAGTGAAAAAGACCAATCTATGAATTCCATCCAGTTATCACTTTACATTGTGCTTTAATACTTTGAATTTCTACAACCTTATATATTTGAGCTAAAATGTGTAAGTGAAATTGAACTTGGGGGAAATGAGCCCAAGAGATGTTAATTCGAAGTAGGGATACAATATCAGTAAGTTAAAGGATTTTTTTTCTATACTGCATCTTAAGCAACTGCTTTCTGAGAAGTTCAAAGGACTGTGTACAGGTTGAAACAATCAGATATTCACTACAAAGAGACACATTCCTGACAATGCTACAACTGATGAGCAATTTGTTATCAGAATGAATGAAATAATACTCTCATCATGAACATATTGATAAGCTCATTTATTAACATTCTAATTAAAAAAATGGGCTAGGCATAATTGATACAATTTATTCTGGATATTTAATATTACATATTTTGGGGTCGTTGCGAAACTTTGGGTCCTTATGCATAATCGACATAAATCCTGTAAAACAATAATTAGGTTTAAAAAACAAAATGGTTTTATAAATCATCCAAAGGCATGACTATTTTATAATACTTACCCGCGCATTGGGCTCTTTTAATAGCTTTTGACATTTCATTTTGTTTCTTTGCACATAACCCTAAGAAGCAAAGAAATAGTCATTTCAAAATACAATTCAAAAATACTAATTGCTCAATTTCATTTGAGTCTTTGTTTCCCCCAAAAAATTAAAATTATTTTAAGTAGCTTTTTTATTTTCTTATTTTAGAGAACATGTACTTGGGCCGGTATAACTCAGAATGAGTATAAAAAATTTAAAATTCTTATGTTAAAAGTACTGAAAGGTATTTCATGATTTGGTTTGGATATGAGTTGATGTAATACTGCTAAAACTGTTTTTTGTACCTACCTGTTATATGATGACCAAATATGTGACCAGTGTATGGAGAAATAAACTGTGATAAAAGCTGTTGGAGAAATAAGTTGGTTCAGTCTTCAAAGCAATAAAAAAAATACTTTTGGTAGCAAATATTTTCAATTGGATAATCTTTCATAGTTCTTTAAGCAAAATGACTGCATTGGTGTAAAATCATATTTTACTTGAAAATCTAAAACTNTTAATAACAACTCAAGGGCAACAAAACTTCATGAGAGATCTTTTAAGCTACAAAGTGTGGAGAGAAGTCCAGCAGTCGACAGCTTCATCAACATCCAAAGTAAAGAAACACACTTTATGACATCGACGTGCACCGGGTCCCAGTGCCTGGCGGGGAGGAAAGTGGATCGACTCTGCATAGAAGTGTTAGATGCGAGTGCACAGTTCCCACTTCCGCCATTACTAGAATGGGATGATCTACCAGATTATCACAGTGAGATTGCGATCCCAGAGGTAGCAAGCACCACACCTCACCTGAAGCACATGAGTAATCACCTTCCTGCTCTAGATCCCAAAGCCGAAATCCTGTTCTTGCCAGGAGCAGATACCTCTAACGCTTTCACCACTCAAGAAGTGGTCAAAGACCCAAGGGGCTCCCCATTCACCCTCAAGACAAAACTTGGAAGGGGCATCTTTGGAATAGTATGTGTCGATTGGCAGCAGGTCCCAACCACTGTTCCCTCTAAGATGCGTGGCTGCGCGGCCACACACATGGCAAGAAAACCCCGCGCAGCAGTTTCTAACTGCCACGCAGGAGCCTCACAAAATCTAGGGTTAGCACGGGCGTGGGGATGGCAGCAGGAGCTTACGCGGCACAGCTGGTCTCCTAGGACCGCTCATTACCGTCAGTCCCCCCGTGTTCAGCAAAGCAAACATGGGGAAGTCCTTTGCAGGTGGCTAGAACTGCTTTGCTGAACACAGGGGCAACTGACGCTAGTTTGAGCAGCTGTGGCCAGTACAAACTACTGTCAGTCGCTCCGTGCTCATCAAAACAAGTCTGGGGAGGTCCTTTGCAGGTGGCCAATCCTAGCTGCTTGCGCTTGCCGCTGTGGCTGAAATAAACCCCCAAAGCCCCTGCCGCCACCAGAATATCTGCTGCCTCCTCCTCCTCCTCCAACAGCACTGCCAGATTTGCTGCCTGACTCTGCAGCTGAGGTGAAGCCGCCAAAGCTCCTGCCAGCACCCCTGCCCAGCTGAGGTGTTCCGAGCGGAGGGGGAGGCACTGCCGACGCTGCCATGGGCAGGGGCGCCAGTGGAAGCTTTGGCGGCTTCACCTCAGCTGCAGCGCTGGGCAGCAAATGTGGTGGTGATGTTGGATGAGGAGGAGGAGGCGGCAGCAGTTATTCTAGTGGTGACGGGGGCTTGTTGGCATCTTCAGCGGCAGCCCTGCCCCCAGTGAAAAAACCAAAGATGGAGCAGATCCACACAGATGACGTCACTGCAACATGA